CCTTTCTTACACTTTTAACTTAATTTTTAATTTTTTTCTTCTTTTCTTTTTATTACTTTTTATTAGTTTGCATCAGTTTTTATCTCCTTTTTAAACAATCCTTAATAAAATTATACCACCCCCCCCCCCAATCTACTATCACACAACATTTGGAAATTCAACAGAGATAGATATAATACTAGTAGTTATCCTGTACAAAGAGATGCAACTGAGGGTGGAGAACCTGTGGTTCTCCAAATGTTGGTGAACTACAACAACCAGCAATTCCAGCCAGTATGATCAATAATGAGATATGCTGGGAATTCTCATTCAGTAACAGGTGGAGGGCCATCAGTGTCCCAGAAGGGGAAGGAATAAAAAGTGCAATGCTCAATACAAAGTCCTCCACTTACATACAGTACTTGTATGTGAAGTCATAACACAAGTACAAAACAGTGGAGTATGCTTCATGACTTCACAACATAGTTTCATCATTAAGCTAGCTGCAGATACCTATGTGGAGGGCCATTGCTTTCTCATTCTTAAAATAGATTCTTGCACATTGTCCCTCTCTAACTGGTGACTGCCAGGCAACTATGAAGCTGTAGTGCCATGTTGCCTTCTGGTGGCTAGACTAGAGGGGGCCTTTTGTTGACATGGAAACCCAGACAACTTCCCATCTCTTTCCCCTATCTTCTTAGCCAGACTTCATCCAACATGCACATCCACTTTATTTAGATATGGTTTATAGAATTAACCCAGTTGTCTAGGTTCACACAATTCACTGAACTATAAGGAAACAGTGTTGGTTGACTTTACTCCATATACTGAGCCCCAAACTAACCAACCAGATTTTAGTCTAGCATTTTTGCAAATTTAACCACAGTGTCTTACCCACTGTTAAAACTCATCTTGTGTGATCTCTGGTTCACAGATCTATCTTGTTAATTTATTTATTTGCTTAGATTGCTCCACAAACAGTCATGGTTTTTTCTAGTATTCATACACACAAATTTTGGAAAGCAGAAATATTAAACATACCATCATAAGTGAGTGAGGGAACCAACGTTGATTGAAACCTCTGGCTGAGATAACCTACAGGGAACAAAAAAATGCAAAGAAATTAGAAGGAACAGAAACACAACGGAGTTGCCTGAACTGTAGTATGGCAGGCAAATCAGCGCAACATTTTTCACTGTTTTCACTCACCTAGGTCTTCTTCACAGGTTTGGAGTTTCTCAACCCCATAGGCCATCACCGTACCCCGAGGAATTAGCATGGACTTATTTTTCATTGTCTTGTGCTGACCCTGGGGATTTGAGCACAGAATGTTAAGGATGTCTTATAGCAGACCAAGTCACAGATTGTGAAGGAAGCAAGCTAGCAATCCATAGTCATCCTCGTCATCTCACAGAAAGCATAGGCTGTGGTGAATCCACACTCTAGTGACCAGTCACAGTTTGCCTGACTCTCATGGCCCTAAGATTACCAGATGGAGTCAAAGATCATGAGAATATATCCCACCCATCTCGTTTCCAGCAATGGCCGGTCAGGAGCCCCCTTTACCTAAACATAAGTAGGGAACACTACTCCTCTTTCAGTAGCCCTCATTATGTTCACTTCAGAGTAAATGAACTACATGTTCATTCCATTTTCTTGGTTCAGTACACCTGCTTATGTATTTTTCCAAAATCTCTCTTTCCTGCAAGTCCACTTTATGGCACACATTAAAAAAATAAAGCTATACTTTTGCACAAATGTACTAATCTTTCTGCAGTGAGTTGGTATGCTTCCCAGTCGCCTATTCCTCACATTAATCTGCTACATTATTGATTGTGCTCTTGTGGCACAACACCACTGTGCCCTCCCAAAAGCTGCCAGTCAAGGGCTGCCCTCTGTGCCCTAAGGCAGGCGTGTGGAATACATTTAGTATCAGGGGCCATTTTTGGTCTTTCAGTAGTATGCCAGGCCCACACTCCAAAAAATAGATGGGGCCTCCACAACAAAGTAGGCAGCGCCAAGACCAAAAGAAACAGGTTATATGCTTACTCCCCATGCATTTAAACACTTTTTCCTAAAAAAAAAAAAAAAAAAAGTTTAAGTAAAGCTTGATATTCATCCACATAGGAGTGGGGTTTGTTTTGTTATGTTATGTTTTGTTTTTGCCACCCTGTGGAAGTGGTTTGATATAGCCTTTGTCAGGATTTTTTTTTCTTTTTACTTCCTTACAGCCCTGAAACTTCCTGCTGGTCTCTTATTATCCAACTACTAATCTAGGCCCAGCCTTGATTAGTTTTTCAAGGTCAGCCCAGTTACACTAAGTACTACTGCTTAACTGAGCCATTTTTTCCTCCTAATTGCACATTTAAAAATTAAAACTGGATGGCAGTTGTTGGAGAGGCTCTAGGGGCTGAACTCATGGTCTGGTCAGAGTGGTTTAGTTTGTGGATTTGTTCCTATGAAACACACAGAACACCCTATCAGCAAACCCACTGCTATTAGTCAGCAATCAGCTCCTCCTTTAGGACTCCTGAGGCAGGGGTGCTAGTTTGGTATTAAACTGCTCATTTGAAAAGCAAGAAACACCAAAAAGATGAAGCCAAAATGATAACCACACCTGGATCTTAAGTATATCCGCTGCAGAGACCTCTCCCTTGCCACCTGTCTGGACAGTCTCTTCAATCAGAAAGGGCTCTGTTATCTCCAAAACTTCTGTCACAATGTAGACATTGAGTTTAGGGTAGATTTGCTGGATAACACTGAGGGACATATCCATCTTCCTGAAAACAAAATGCAAGAGTGTCACAGCTGCAGTTCCTACAATAAGGTTAGAGTTCTGAAGCTTCTCATGCTATTGCTGGGAACTTCTTTATTCTCTGGTGAGGGACCATCCAAGGCGCCAGAATGAAATCCTCCCAGAGATATCATGTTCTCTAGGCTAGGATTGGCCCCAAGCATTTTACTGTCTGCAGTAACAGATATGATGGCATCCTGTCTACAGTGAAGGATAAGAAAGACATCCTTTCTACCAACGAACTGCTCCATACCAGATGATGGCCCTAAAAGCAACAGGCTGGACCATAAGCTCAGCTCTGTGTTTAACTACCCTTTCCACAGCTTCTCTCCATTCCCCAATTCCTGTACCTAAGACCAGGCCAGGACTGTAGGCTGCAGAAACAGTTTTCAACAGACTTAGATCAACACAGGAATGCTGGAAATCCCGGAAAGGAGGAGACTGGGAAGGATGAGAGGTGAATACAGCCCTCCTTAGCAGAGACAGAACATAAAGCAAGGGGCATGGCAGACTCTAAATTAGGATCAAAGCAACTTCTCTACCATTCCCAAGTATAAAGGCTTTAAAAGGCTTATTGCTCTAGACAACAGAATCTTTGGCTCCCCAATTTTGTTTGTTTTCAACTAAGTCCTGGGAGCTAGTAGCTTAAACCTCAGACAATCGACAAAACTCCCCATTTTCTTCTCTGATTCTTCCCATCACCTAAGTCCAGAGGGAGACTGTGGTAAACTGCCTCAAAACATCTTGACTGGGTTTCCTCTATACAGTGGGGAGTTTGTTGTGTTGTAGGCAGGCTACTCAAACGAAAATCCAGATGATAAAGCCCTCTCACAAGGTAGCATGAATGTTATGCGCCAGGACTTTCTCCTGGAGAAAGTCTCAGATTTATAGGGGCTCTGCCAGAGCACCGTAGCTCCCACTCATTTCATTGCAACTCATAAAGAAAGTCTCCAAATAGATTGCAGCAGGTAGGTCAAAGTCATTTATTTATCCCTCTCTGCAGCTTTTAATACCAAAAATCTGATCATCTCCTTCATGGTTGGATTATGAATGTTTCCAAGACACAATATATTTGTTAAGGTACAATTCTCAAGAAAACTACCTGGTTAGTACTGTAATTAGCTCCTATTATTCCATTCTTGTCCAACCTTTGTGTAAAAATAGGCAAAGCCATGCTCACCACAGCTCTCCTGGGTCCACACAGGTTTTTCTGAGATGTACTGGAGTGGCATTCAAGCAAGCCAAGGCCAACCCACCAACATCCACTTCTGCAGACCGTATCTTAAAGTTCAGCCGTCCTCCAGATTTGTAGCATGTGTTAGCAGAAAATAAAAGTGGCTCGGAATGTTTCAGTTCTAAAAAAAATTAAAAATAAGCAAAATTCATGATCCGAATACAGTGGTCTAATTGTTATTCCTTACACATTTTCCTCTCTTTTATATGCTTGGATTCCTTCCCAGTAAGAAATAACCGCAGGTCCCTGAATTCACACATCATGCTGAAGTATAAAGTGGTTGGTTTGGTTTTTGCTTAGCAAGTTGTATGAATCCTGCCACTGTGGTTTGTAAACCATGGTTTATGGCTTAGTGCAATGAGTACGCTCAGGATTATATCTGAATCAGGGAAATGGCTGCAAAAGATTGGCCTTCAAATCGAAAGAGGAAGCCACATAGTCTGTGCTAAGTCTGTGAGTCTGATGTGATGCACAATTTGGGCATGGTTCCTGAAAGACCACTATGTTTCTCCTTTGCTTTTAGGACTCCCAGAAAACTGTCCAAACAGAGCTTATCCAGAAAGATGTCTATGAATTAATTTGATCAAGCATACCTATTTCTATTGTTGCTTCTTCTTGGAGTATGTCTGCCAGTTTGAAAGAGGTTGGGGAATACTTTCTACTATTCCAAGGCCACCTATACTTATGTTGTTTTTTAGTCACCAAAGAGAGAAGCTGAAAGCCATCATTCTGGGCCAGGCTGCTCACAGGAATCAATTTTCCATCTGAGTCCACTTCTTGGATAAGCTGCTTGGCCAACCTCTTAAACATTTTTTTTCCCACCAATGGACAAATGGGACAGAAATGGTATTGACAAGAAGATCTCAAACAGCCTGAAAGAAGGGACAAAATAAATCATCATCATCATCTTCACCCTGAATCAATCCACAGCAGGTTGAAGGCATCTCCACTGAAGGCTATGGACCATAATCTACCATACTGTTCCAGTGCAAATTGGTAGATATATTTTTTTACTTCCCATTCTAGGGCTGAGTAAGAAGGATTGACCCAAAGTCCCCCAACTAGCTTCTGATTCATACACGCACATATATACACACAGGTTTTCAAATCCATCATATTAGTAGAGTTCAGGAGGAGAGGATTCCTTGACAATAAAAACAACAACAACAAATAAACTACAAAATAGCTGTGAACAAGCTTATCCCCAATTCTAATATATATATATATAT